CAATATTTTAAAAGATAATTTTTAATTGAATAGTTAAATTATATTTGATTTAAATATTACATTTCAGAGATTTTGTAAGATAATTAAAAAAAAAAAAAAAACACTTTCTTCTTTTTCATATGAAAAAATCTGGTTATATTATATTACGATAGAATTAAAAGTATTCATTAGTTATAACAAATATGAAATAATAAATATTATTGTATAATATATGTACGTACATGTGGATAATCCTATTACGAATATATTTCAGATATTATAAATTGAAACAAAATCATGATAATAAATATGAGAAAATGTCATTTAACGAATGTTTGACAAATTTCAAAAAGAAAATCCAATACACATGTACTCCTTGACTTCCCATTATTTAATTCGATTGTTTATCAAAAGTACGATAGTTTGTTGCAAGTATAATATACTTCTTTCATCCTATCAAGAGCTTTTGAAATTTATCACAAAGAAAAATCTATTGCACTTGATCAAATATTCAAACTTTGACACCTACTTTTCCTACAATTGATATATTATTTGTTTTCTAACATAAGTAAATGCGTGAAACTATGTATCATATTTTTCTTATACACCCTATATGTTTATAATGTGTATACACATATACATACATACATATATGCAATAGTACATTGCATAAAATACTAATTATATACACAAATACTGTTCGCGGGTTAATTGCTTGCGTTTGATTTTCCATTTATTCGATAACCGCATATTGTGTGCCACTGAACGATCGTTTAAACGTTATCTTCATTACATCACGTAATTAAATTTACCGGTAGTGAATTTAATGCAGATTTTAGTTAGTCCCTTCATAATCATGAATAATTTTGTTTTCATCAGTGAAATACGTTTTACGACACGTGTGCAAACTCGACCTTTGTCTTTCTCTTTCTAATTGATATCATTAGAAGATTTATATTTCACTCTTGTGTAACATAACTCTTCACATATATACATATATATATATATATATATAGATATATTTTTAAATTATCATTATTAATTTTATTCGATTTTCTTTTCTTTTCTTTTTTCTTTTATCTTTTTACATTTGAAAGATAAAACCTTATGCATTACCTTAATCTCTTAGCGTTGTTTTATCTTTTCTTTACAAAATTACTGACGAAAGATGCTTAAGATAAAAATGCTGCTGCTACTTACGGAAAAATGGCAAAGTAAAAGGAATGGGGAAAAAAAAGTAAAAGAGAAGAAATAGAAGAAAAAGTGTCGTAGTAATGCAACCAAGCATATTTCTTTGTGCAAACAAGTTTGTCACGTAAAAAAAAAAAATAATATATCAGATGTTTAAGTATGAAAAGAGTAAACAAAAAGAACATATATATATATTTTATTATATTATATAACAATAGGATGTTTTGCATAGCACCTAAAGGTACATCATTACAACATTTTATCATTTGTTCGGTAATATGGTCAGTTATGAAGGATATTAATCGGACTTGTATAAATTTTTTTCATTTTTTTAAAGCCCCTTTTACAAGTATCATTCCGTAATACACGAGTGTACGAATGTGTTGCCTATTTCCAGGGGTTCGTACATATGTTTCTTCATTCAAAGTATGTATACACGTTCATCAAGTAGAATTTATCAATGGAAACATATCGAGTATTGCAATACCTTCAGGGGATTTAATATATTCTATTATAATTAATTATAATAGTTAACGAAGTTTACGTTCTCAATATAATTATTAAAATTGTTAACTTGTTTAATATTAATGATAAAACTATTCTAATTACTGAACTATCATCTATTGAAGAAAAGTTTAAAATAATTCATAGTTATTAGACTAATTTTTATTAATCTAAACATTTGAGTTTTTTTTTTTTTTAATAACAAGACCAAAAATAAAAAAAGAAATGATGTAAAATAAACGTACAGAGGCGTTTCATAATTTACGTCATTTGCAGTTTTATTGCATTTGTAGTGGGTTATTACGCGAATGGAAATATAAGTTTGTGTTTTATATGTTCTATTAGAAAATATCCTTGAAAATAATATCCTTTTACCCTTTTTCTATTTCTTTTAATTCTTGACGAAGTAATTCTTTATAATATTATATATTTCTATTTTTTTTTTTTTTTATAAACTTAGATATTTATTAATACACGTTTTTTTTTCTTTTTTCCTTAAGAAAACAATATTCATTTATTTATCATTAAACACGAGTAAAATGTTCCTATCGTCGTTACTATTTTTCTTCTGCATAATGTTTGATATCATTTTTTAAAATTTAATGAAAATAAATAGACGATGTTATTTAAGGTTTTAGACGAACAAAATTCTAAAGTCAAACGTGAAAAATGAATCGAGTTTGGGGCTTGTATATATATATGTGGAGGTATATACGATCACATTTGTGTTAACAAAAATTCTATAATACAGTTCGATGTTTTAACTTTACGACTCATAAACGGTTCCCATTTTATTTTTCATGATGTGGTTGAAAAAAAAAAAAAATAAAAAAGAAAAGAGACTTAGGAAGGAACCAGCAGAAAAAGAAGACCCACAACCTTTTTAAAAAAGCAACGGTGAATGAAATTTTTTGTAACCTTTCCATTTTTTATATTATTCGTAAGGACATTTACAAGAGAGAGAGAGAGAGAGAGAGAGAGAGAGAGAGAATAAAAAATTAACGATATAAAAAAATTATAAGACAAGTTTATTTAAATAATTTTTTTAATTGGTTTACACGAGCGTAATAAGAAAAAAAAAAAAAAAAGAAAAAGTAAAAGAATTCTCAGTTGCTTGTTTTTAAGCTTGCGTAACTACGAGAAATATTATACCGTGATCTTAATGTCTACAGTTTCTCGTTGATTTTATTATAAAAAATAAAATAATGAAATAAATATTCTATCTTATTTTGTCTCTCTCTCTCATTCTATATTACCATTTCCAATTTTATTTACAATTTCTACTAAGAAAGAGTCGTCGTCGTATCGAAATTGAACGACACCGGATGAAAGAACTAGATTTAAGGTATAAAATAGGAAACATATTGAGAGAAAGAGAGAGAGAGAGTGAGAGAAAAAAAGAAAGGGAGGAAACGAAAGTAATCCGCATCGAAATTTAAATCACACCTTTTCCAAAGTAAACCATCTATCCAGTAGGTAATGGTGAAAGACGTTGTTTGATCTCGTTTCGAAAAAGATTCGTTGTAAACAAAACATAGTGAAAACTGTTCTCTCTCTCTCTCTTTCCTTTTTTCATGGTTGAAATGTTATGTAGAGAAAGATGTAAACAATCGATCTGAGAATGTATATAAATATATGTATATTAACATATCTATGAAAGATATGAAGAAAAATAAATATAGACAAAAGATGTAAAGTATATATGTGTGTGTATGTTCGTCAACTTATCGCAGGTATGTTATAAAAAAAAAAAATAATAAAAATATTATCTTAATATATATATATAAATTACGTGTACATACTATACATACATGATGATGTTTATAGTGATGATGTTTATGGTAATGGTGGTGGTGGTGTTGGTGGTGGTGTAGGGTAGTTGAGGAAAAAAGGGGTGGAAGAAATTGATCTTATTTCGTATCCCTTATTTCGTGATTGTGGAAAATAGTTACGTAAAGGTAAATAATTAAGGTGTTACGTATACACGGTGTCCCATTTATTATGATCGTTTGTTATTTTCTTGTGAAATGTTTACAAAATGAAAACAACTAGAGCGGGAAAAGGGGATCCTTTCGAATGTTATTGAATGAAGTTATTGTATATGCACGATGTGATGTAATATTTATTTTATTGGATGAATGAAAAAACAAAATAAAAATCATATTAATACAATGATAAAGAGAATTAATGATGACAAACGATTACGATCACTGATTGAATTACGAAAGATATTCAATACGCGTGATTAATGAGATTCATTATTATGATACTTGCATATGTGTATTAAAAGAAGGAATTAAAAAAAAAAAAAAAAAACAAAGGAAAAATAATAAAATGCAATGTGTGCAACGTAATGAATGGAAGAGGACGAGTGCATCGTGAAAACTGCATTAGCGTGCGAAACGAAAAACTTCGGTCGTGTTATCCAGAATTAAAAATCCTCTACCTCTTTTTTATATCAAAATGAGCAGCAACAAGTGACACAAATTTGTTTGTTTGTTTATTAAACCTCAGGTACAACAACGAATAACTTTATCTCAAAGGAAATGTACGTACATCCTTTTTATTTATTCTCCAAACTTCTCTGTTTTCCTAAGAACAAAACAAAACAAAAAAAAAGGGGGGGGAAAAAAATCACCACAAAAAATTATAAACTTATATTTATTAAGTCGAAATTTTTTTAGATAATAAAATAACAAAGTACATCACAGATGTATGAAAGAAGAAAAATATTTTTTTCGTTTACGTTTTAATAATAATAATAATAATTAGTTGTTAAATATTTTTATACAAAGGAAACGAGTGGTTGCGTCAAAGTTACATACATTCTGATATAGTTTTTTTTTTATACTTGTTGTATTATTTAATTTATTTATATATTATATTAATAGAACAATTTGCAAGTATATTAAAAATCTATCAATTTATTTTGAAAAATATTTGAATGCTATAAAAACATAAAAATTCAATAACTAAACAGAGATTTTATTAAAAGAAAAAACAAATTATAATTAAAGAAACCAAAGAATATGTGATCTACAATATAAGTAAGAGGATTTGTAATTCCTAAAAATAATAGAAAATACTTTGGATATTTAAAAAGGGCAAGGGAAAGAGATCGAGGATTTTCTTTGGACTCGTAGAATTTTCTGTTCGTGTTAGTAAAACTAGGAAGAAGGATTCGTAGTATAGAATGTCGGCACGTGAAACATTCCGCGCTAGGGTTGTACCAAGCGCACTCTGATAGGAACGATAGTGGGGGGTGAGTTTTTCATCCCCCACCAGCACTGGAGAATATAAAGTGGTCGCGTGGTTGGAAGCACAGTCATTCTGACATAGAAACTCCGAGTAGTAACTAAAGGGTTAAATAGTATACGATTTCAAATCGCGATTATTTTTTCTTGCGATAATAAACAATCCTTCACTTCACCCCCTATCACCATCAGAACCATCATAACCATCGCCAACTGATCTTATTGCTTCTTGGATTCTTCTGGTTCCACGAAAGGAAGACAAGAAATCCGACTACTACTACGATTTTTATTATTTTTCTTGGAAGATCATCGTAACCACGAGGTATACTATTCATTATTTATTTATAATATTTTTTGTTTTTTTATTATTAA